GTGTAGATCACAAGGTGAAAACAGAGAGGAAAAAGACAAATAAATAAAACTAATGCAGCCATCACATACAAGCATTGGTAAGCTGCAATATATTACATGCTTGGTTTTGGGTTTATTACTGCTTTAACCACCTCTCCCGCCCGCCATATAGGGAAATGATGGACGCAAGGTGGTTCTCTCGTTCTGGGAGGACATCATATGACGTCTTCCCATTCTAACCATGCATGCGCGGCTCTGGGAGCACGCAGTGTGGCAATCGGAAAGCTGAAAATTGTCCTGGGCAGGAAGGCGGTATAAGTGCCCAGTAGGCAAGTGGTTAACAGAAGTGAAAAACATTTTATTTACAAATTACTACTGCCTAAAGTGTAAGTTCACCTTTAGTAACTTTTTGAAAACTCCACTTATGCAATTCCAGAACTCAAACTGTACATACCTGAGGTTTTAAAATGTGGGCCAGTGGTATGTACTATTTATGGGATATGGAATTGCATAGGTGCTTTTTGTACAAAGTGAAACTTTAAGTCTGGCTTTTGAATAATCTTTTTTCTCCAATTAGAAATTCTGAAATTTTGTTCAATAGCATTGCAGAATTGTGGACATCTATTTACATTATGCATTCAGAACATAAACCTTGTTTGTAGTTCTCCCATGTAAAAAGCAAATATAAAACATTTCTCATTTGGACTAGTTGATCAATTAAAAGAAAAGTGACTTCTGGTACAGTTGTCCTTTAAATACCCCTCTTCACCCCAAGTGTTGATGGCCTCTTTCAATTGACATTCTTTGAAGTATACAAGTGAAACCCAGCAGGCAGACTTCTGCAAAAGTTACCATGCAGTTTCCAGAAGACCACATAATGGAGAACTTGGAGGAGCAGGGGTAGACCTCAATAACACTTGGAGATTCTTGGATGGAGCAGTTTCTACTTAAAGTATAACTATCCAATAAGAGCTTTTACACAAATAAAAAGCAAAGTACAATATCAAGTAAAACAATGAGTAATATATTTTTTAAAAAATCATTATTTCCTTCTCTGCTTTATAGTGTTAACTTTCTGGAGTTAAGCATTAAGGGAATTATTCCCTGCATTTGGGAGAGCAGGAATATAGATTTATAAATTTACATGGAGGATGAACTGTACACGAACCACATGAAATGGAGAAAGCCTTTGAAGCTTGCTGAGGTTGCTGTAATGAATGACTCACTTTTGAGCCTAAGGGATAAGGGTACTATGTATATAATACAAATATGGAATAGAAAATACCTTCCAAGAAAGGAATTTTTATCTATTAGATTATTAAGAATCTAAGTATTCTAACAATATTCACTTCAAAACAAATGGCAGTCATTACATGAAGTTAATAAGTGAGAGGTCTTGGAGCCTCATTTCGGGATCTTGCTATATTTTCTGTGAGCATTAAAAGACTCTCATCCACAATTTTAGTTCGTAAATCACAGCAAAAAAATGTATCATCTTGACCATTATTTTTTATTACACAGGACTTATAAAGAACCAAAAGTTTGCTCAGCTCTTCCCATTATAAAAGGGAAACAGTACAATTTCAATACAAGAGAGTTAGGAGGACCATGCTCCTTAGAGCTCACCATCTAATAGGGAGGGGCAAATGGTACAAAATCTAATAACTGTGAGTGAAGAACAGATAGGAGAATTAAAGTTTCAGTTGTTAGGTGAAGGTGGGATAGCCTTCCCTGAACAGGAAAGTTTTCAGGGATCATCTAAAGTTGAGATAGTAGGAGATAGCTGGACAGATTGGAGTAGAGAGTTCCAAAGGATGGGAAAGGTTCTGGAGAAGTCCTGGAGAAAACATGGAAGGAGGAGACAAGGGAGCTAAAAAATAGGAGGCCTTGGGAGCAGTGGAGAGGACAGTTTGGGTGATATAATGAAACAAGATTAGTGATGATATAGCTGGGGACAGAGTTGTAAATGTATGTTGTTCTTGGCATTTTTAATTTTATTTGCTGGGCAATTAGAAGCCAGTAGAGGGACTGGCATAGAGGGGTGGAGGACACAGCGGTTGATAAGGTGGATGAGTCTGGCAGCAGCATTCATGATAGACTGAAGGAGGGATAGCCTGTGAAGAGTTAAGCCTATGAGTATGGAGTTGCAATAGTCAAGGCAAGAGATAACAAGTGAGTGAATGAGCTTCTTGTTGGTTTTATTAGTTAAATGAGACTATCAGAATAAGATAGCAGTCAAATGTCTGGGTACAAAAATTTTCTCTTTTTTAAAAAATTTGAACATACCTGCATATATTGGCCAAAGCTGGAAAAAAGAGCATATAGGAAACACAGTCTAAAGCTGGTCATAGATGGTTTGCTGGCTAAAAGAAAAAAAAATTAGATCCCTGGATGGAGGAATCTGCAGCCCATCCGGACATCGTATTCCGACAGCAGGACTCTCAAGGGATAAGGTAAGTATTGCAGATTATTCCTTTACCTCTACACTTAGTGTAATTTATTATTATTATTATTATTATACAGTATTTATAAAGCGCCAATAGTTCGCTCAGCGCTGTACATTACAAAGGGGGACAGAACATGTGACAGAACAATACCAATACAATGCAAAACATGAGGGGATCGAGGGCCCTGCTCTTTCAAGCTTACAATCTAGGAGGGAGGGGATGGTGGCACAGGAGGAGATAGCTGTGGGGGATGGAGTGGTAGGAAGAGTGGAGGAGGTCGGCAAGTTAGCAGGGGGTGGGGTAGGCTTCCCTGAAGAGATGGGTTTTCAGGGTGCGCCTAAAGGAGAGGAGAGTAGGTGATAATCTGATGGGTTGGGGCAGGGAGTTCCAGAGGATGGGTGACACCCTGGAGAAGTCCTGGAGGCGGGCATGGGAGGAGGAGACCAGGTGTTAGGAATGGACTGGCCAGCAATGGTGGGACTCACCTGCCTTTTGATCTGCAGTACCAGGGCTGGCCAGCGGGTGCTCCCAGCAATCAGAGACTCAACCTTTCAGCCAGCTAACACCTGGAACTGATGATACTGGTGTATTTAAGGGATGGCCAGACTTGCAGACTCTGCCTTGGTGTTGTGTTTGTCCTGGGCCCTGTATCTGTCCTGCATCCTGTTTCTGTTCCTTTGCTGACTTCTCCTGCTCTGATCCTGGCTTGTGACCCTGACCATCCCTCTGTCTGACCCTCTGTACTACGCTGCTTGCTACCTGTTCTGATCCCTGGCTTGTGACCCGGACCATCCCTCTGCCTGACCCTCTGTACTATGCTGCTTGCTACCTGCTGAACCTGGCCTGTGACCCCGACCATTCTCCGCTTGCTCCCCCTGTACCTACCTGCCCAATTGATATTGACCCGGCCTGCCTGACGACGCTTGCTTGTATATACTGTTATCTGTGGGTGGTTTGGTTTGGTTTGTTTGCACCGTATTATGTTTTAGTATTGCACTGCGTTTATGTTTGTACTGTTAGTGTTAATAAATTATATTGTTTATAACATATCTGAGGTCTGCGTTTCCCTGCTTCAGTCACACACCTCTGGTCATACCTGGGAGCCCTGACATTACACCAAGGCCAATCCTGACCAGAAGTGGCTGCACAGGGAAGCCATCTTGGCTTGTTGATGGGAAGGATGGATCTTGAGGAGGTTGAGTATTTATATCTGCTAGTGTTTGATGACAGGGAGTATGCTTATCAAACTCTGAAGGAGTATACCCGGGATGAATTGCTAGAATGTATACGGCTCGCTCATGTTCTAGTAGATCAGGGCACAGAGTTCTCTGAGGTGCAGCCTTTGATTGAGGTTTGTGCAGAGTTGGTTTCATCTGGTTCCCCCGAATGCAGGGATGAATTTTTGCCACCATTTAGTGCAGACCAGGTAGAGTCCCTGGTGTGGTTATTAGAGGATGATGTGGGTTACTTTCTGGAGCGTTATTCCACATGTTCACCACAGACACTGAGAGATTGTATAAACGCAGTGCAGTCATTGACCAGACAGACTTTGTGTAAGCTCAGCTTTGTTCAACCCCTACTGCAGACATGGACAGATTTGTTGCACCCAGCCTCAGTCAGCTTACAAAGACCCAGTCCTGCTTCTAACTCTACTCCTGTATTCCCACCAGCTCCTCCAGTTACAGCCCAGTATACTTGGCTATCTACCGCATGTCAGTACCCTGTTCCCACTCGCTGCACCTATCCTGCCTTTAACCCTGTAAAAAAGCCCTCTGTAGCAACTGCTCCCTCTCCTGTTCCATCCTCCAGTTCTTCTCTGTCTCCAGCTGCTCCATTTGTTTGCAGACCTGCGTTTACTTGCAGTGCTCCAGTAGTTAAAACCAGAAAAAAGTGAAAATTCTTTCCAACCAATACCATCCTGCCAGTATCCAAACCGGTGAGCCTGCCTTCCGTGGTTCAGACTGATGCCTGTACGCAGCCTGAAGCCTCTACTCGGCCTGATGCCTCTACTCGGCCTGATGCCTCTACTCGGCCTGATGCCTCTACTCGGCCTGATGCCTCTACTCGGCCTGATGCCTCTACTCGGCCTGAAGCCTCTACTCGGCCTGAAGCCTGTACTCGGCCTGATGCCTGTACTCGGCCTGATGCCTGTACTCGGCCTGATGCCTGTACTCGGCCTGAAGCCTCTACTCGGCCTGATGCCTGTACTCGGCCTGATGCCTGTACTCGGCCTGATGCCTCTACTCGGCCTGATGCCTCTACTCGGCCTGATGCCTCTACTCGGCCTGATGCCTCTACTCGGCCTGATGCCTCTACTCGGCCTGATGCCTCTACTCGGCCTGATGCCTCTACTCGGCCTGATGCCTCTACTCGGCCTGAAGCCTCTACTCGGCCTGAAGCCTCTACTCGGCCTGAAGCCTCTACTCGGCCTAATGCCTCTACCCAGCATGATGAACTGATCCAGCCTGACGATCCTATTAGGCCAGTTGACTCGATGCCCGCTGTTGATCCAGATGATCCGGTACCTGATCCGGTGCCCGCTGTGGTGCCAATTGACTCAGAGCCCGCTGTCGTACCTGGTGACTCGGTGCTCACTGCCTTGCCAGATGACGCGGTGCCCGCTGGCAAGCCAAATGACCTGATGCCTGGTGACCTAGTGTCCGCTGTCATACCTGATGACCCGATGCCCGCTGTCGAGCCAGACAATCCGGTACCTGATGACCCGGTGCCCACTGTCGTGCCTGTTGACTCGGAGACCACTGCCTTGCCAGATGACGCGGTGCCCGCTGTCGAGCCAAATGACCTGATGCCTGGTGACCCGATGCCCGCTGTCCAGCCAGACGATTCAATGTCTGCCCCGGTGCCCGCGGTCATGCCAGTTGACTCGGAGCCCACTGCCTTGCCAGATGACGCGGTGCTCGCTGTCGAGCCAAATGACTTGATGCCTGGTGACCCGATGCCCGCTGTCCAGTCAGACGATCCAATGTCTGACCCAGTGCCCGCGGTCATACCAGTTGACTCGGAGCCCACTGCCTTGCCAGATGACGCGGTGCCCGCGGTCGAGCCAAATGACCTGATGCCTGGTGACCCGATGCCCGCTGTCCAGCCAGACGATCCAATGTCTGACCCAGTGCCCGCGGTCATACCAGTTGACTCGGAGCCCACTGCCTTGCCAGATGACGCGGTGCCCGCTGTCGAGCCAAATGACCTGATGCCTGGTGACCCGATGCCCGCTGTCCAGCCAGACCATCCAATGTCTGACCCAGTGCCTGCGGTCATACCAGTTGACTCGGAGCCCACTGTCGTGCCTGGTGTCTCGGTGCCCGCCGCTCCGCCTGGGGGCCCGAGACCTGTTGCTCCGCTTGGGGGTCCAGCGCCCGCCGCTCCGCCTGGGGATCCGGCGCCCGCCGCCCCGCCTGGGGGCCCGAGACCTGTCGCTCCGCCTGAGGGCCCGAGACCTGTCGCTCCTCCTGGGGGTCCGGCGCCCGCCGCTCCGCCTGAGGGCCCGAGACCTGTCGCTCCACCTGGGGGTCCGGCGCCCGCCGCTCCGCCTGACGGCCCGAGACCTGTCGCTCCATCTGGGGGTCCGGCGCCCGCCGCTCCGCCTGAGGGCCCGAGACCTGTCGCTCCTCCTGGGGGTCCGGCGCCCGCCGCTCCGCCTGAGGGCCCGAGACCTGTCGCTCCTCCTGGGGGTCCGGCGCCCGCCGCTCCGCCTGAGGGCCCGAGACCTGTCGCTCCGCCTGGGGGTCCGGCGCCCGCCGCTCCGCCTGAGGGCCCGAGACCTGTCGCTCCACCTGGGGGTCCGGCGCCCGCCGCTCCGCCTGAGGGCCCGAGACCTGTCGCTCCTCCTGGGGGTCCGGCGCCCGCCGCTCCGCCTGAGGGCCCGAGACCTGTCGCTCCACCTGGGGGTCCGGCGCCCGCCGCTCCGCCTGAGGGCCCGAGACCTGTCGCTCCATCTGGAGGTCCGGCGCCCGCCGCTCCGCCTGAGGGCCCGAGACCTGTCGCTCCGCCTGGGGGTCCGGCGCCCGCCGCTCCGCCTGGGGGCACGATGCCTGTCGCCCCGCCTGGGGGCACGGTGCCTGTCGCCCCGCCCGGGGGCACGGTGCCTGTCGCCCCGCCCGGGGGCACGGTGCCTGTCGCCCCGCCCGGGGGCCCGGTGCCTGTCGCCCCGCCCGGGGGCCCGGTGCCTGTCGCCCCGCCCGGGGGCCCGGTGCCTGTCGCCCCGCCCGGGGGCCCGGTGCCTGCCGCCCGCCCGGGGGCCCGGTGCCTGCCGCCCCGCCCGGGGGCCCGGTGCCTGCCGCCCCGCCCGGGGGCCCGGTGCCTGCCGCCCCGCCCGGGGGCCCGGTGCCTGCCGCCCCGCCCGGGGGCCCGGTGCCTGTCGCCCCGCCCGGGGGCCCGGTGCCTGTCGCCCCGCCCGGGGGCCCGGTGCCTGTCGCCCCCGCCGGGGGCCCGGTGCCTGCCGCCCCGCCCGGGGGCCCGGTGCCTGCCGCTCCGCCGGGGGCCCGGTGCCTGCTGCTCCGCCTGGTGGCCCGCTGCCTGCTGCTTCGCCTGGTAATCCGATGTGCCTCTGCCCGGAGTCCTGCCCGATGTGCCTCTGCCCGGAATCCTGCCCGATGTGCCTCTGCCCGGAGTCCTGCCCGATGTGCCTCTGCCCGGAGTCCTGCCCGATGTGCCTCTGCCCGGAGTCCTGCCCGATGTGCCTCTGCCTGGAGTCCTGCCCGATGTGCCTCTGCCCAGAGTCCTGCCCGATGTGCCTCTGCCCGATGTGCCTCTGCCCGGAGTCCTGCCCGATGTGCCTCTGCCCGATGTGCCTCTGCCCGGAGTCCTGCCCGATGTGCCTCTGCCCGGTGTGCCTCTGCCCGGTGTGCCTCTGCCCGGTGTGCCTCTGCTCGATGTGCCTCTGCCCGGAGTCCAGCCCGGTGTGCCGCTGCCCGGAGTCCTGCCCGGTGTGCCAGTCTTTGATATCCCGCCAGTTGCCAGACCCGGGCGGTGGAACATTTTGCCCAGCTAGGACTGTTTGGAGCGTCCTGAGGCCGCTCCTTGAGGGGGGGGTACTGTTAGGAATGGACTGGCCAGCAATGGTGGGACTCACCTGCCTTTTGATCTGCAGTACCAGGGCTGGCCAGCGGGTGCTCCCAGCAATCAGAGACTCAACCTTTCAGCCAGCTAACACCTGGAACTGATGATACTGGTGTATTTAAGGGATGGCCAGACTTGCAGACTCTGCCTTGGTGTTGTGTTTGTCCTGGGCCCTGTATCTGTCCTGCATCCTGTTTCTGTTCCTTTGCTGACTTCTCCTGCTCTGATCCTGGCTTGTGACCCGGACCATCCCTCTGCCTGACCCTCTGTACTATGCTGCTTGCTACCTGCTGAACCTGGCCTGTGACCCTGACCATTCTCCGCTTGCTCCCCCCTGTACCTACCTGCCCAATTGATATTGACCCGGCCTGCCTGACGACGCTTGCTTGTATATACTGTTATCTGTGGGTGGTTTGGTTTGGTTTGTTTGCACCGTATTATGTTTTAGTATTGCACTGCGTTTATGTTTGTACTGTTAGTGTTAATAAATTATATTGTTTATAACATATCTGAGGTCTGCGTTTCCCTGCTTCAGTCACACACCTCTGGTCATACCTGGGAGCCCTGACACCAGGGAACTAGAGAGAAGGAGGTCTTGTGAGGAGCGGAGTGTGCCTGCTGGGCGGTACTTGGATATTAGGTCAGTGATGTAGTTCGGGGCAGTATGGTGGACAGCTTTGTACGTCAGCGTTAGGATTTTGAATTTGATCCGTTGCGCAATCGGAAGCCAGTGGAGGGATTGGCAGAGGGGGGTGGCGGAAACGGAGCGGTTGGAAAGGTGAATGAGTCTGGCAGCCGTATTCAGGATGGACTGAAGCGGGGATAGCCAGCGGCGAGGCAGGCCAGTGAGGAGGGAGTTGCAGTAGTCGAGTCGCGATATGATGAGGGAGTGGATGAGCTGTTTAGTGGTTTCTGGAGTTAGGAACGTGCGGATTTTGGCGATGTTGCGGAGGTGGAGTCTGCACGAGTTTGTTAAAGAGTGGACTTGGGGCTGGAAGGATAGGTGGAGTCCAAAATGACACCAAGTACTCTGGCCTGCGGGGCGGGTTTGATGGTGGCGTTGTTGGACATGATGGAGAAGTCAATGGGGGGTGGGGTCCGGGCTGGAGGGAAGACAATAAACTCGGTTTTGGAGAGGTTCAGTTTAAGGAAGTGGAGCGACATCCAGTCAGATATGTCGCTCAACAGGTGTGTGATTCGGGCGGAGACCGAGGGGGTGAGGTGGGGGGTTGAGAGATAGATTTGTGTGTCGTCGGCATAGAGGTGGTAGTTGAAGCCGTGAGAGTGTATGAGTTGGCCAAGGGAGGAGGTGTAGATGGAGAAGAGAAGGGGCCCGAGGACAGAGCCTTGAGGGACCCCAACAGAGAGGGGGAGTGAGAGGGAGGTGGTGGCATTATAGGTAACGCTGAAAGAGCGTTGTGACAGGTAGGATGAGAGCCAGGAGAGAGCAGAATCTCTGAGGCCGAGGGAGTGTAGTTTTTTTTGAGGAGGAGGGGGTGGTCGACTGTGTCAAAGGCCGCAGAGAGGTCTAGGAGTAGGAGCACTGAATAGTGTCCATTAGCTTTGGCGGTTAGCAGGTCGTTGGAGAGTTTGAGTAAGGCAGTTTCGGTGGAGTGTAGGGGACGGAAGCCGGACTGTAGGGGATCAAGGAGGTTGTTGTCGTTGAGGTGAGAGCATAGGCGGGCGTAGACTAGGCGCTCGAGGAGTTTAGATGAAAATGGGAGCAGGGAGATGGGTCTGAGGTTGTTCGGGTCATTGGGGTCCAGGGAGGGCTTTTTAAGTATGGGGGTGATGTGTGCATGTTTCAGAGGGGAAGGGAAAGTGCCGGAGGAGAGGAGAGATTGAAGATGTGGGTGAGGGAGCGTAGGATGGAGGGGGAGGGAGGTTGTAGGAGTTGTGTGGGGATAGGGTCAAGGGGGCAGGTGGTGAGGCGGGCATCAGAGAGGATCTTGGAGACTTCTTCGATGGTAGTAAGGTCAAAGGTGCGGAGTGTTGGGGGAGCTTCAGTATGAGGAATGTAGGGGGGTGGGGTGGGGAGAGGAGGTCAGAGCAGTGGTGGGGCCGTGGGAGAGGGGTGTAGAGGGGGTAGCTGAGTGAGGGGGAAGGGGGTTGGAGGGAGTTTGAGCAGCGACGAAGTCCCTGTGGGTTATGTCGAGGGGGAGGGGGGAGGGGGGATGAGGGGGTAGCTGTGTGAGAGGGGAACGGGTTGAGAAGGCGTGTGAGTTGCGGCAATGTCCTTGCGAATTGTGTCAATCTTGTTTTTGAAGTGATTGGCAATCTCAAGGGCAGTGAGTGAGGTGCTGGGTGGAGGTGGGGGTGGCGAGAGTAGAGAGTTGAAGGTGGAGAAGAGTCGGCGAGGATTGGAGGAGAGGGCCTTGATGAGGGTCAGGAAGTAGGCTTGTTTGGCAGTATGGAGGGAGGAGGTGTAGGTGTGGAAGGCAGATTTGTATCGGGTGAAGGCTTGTTGGGATTTGGTTTTGCGCCATAGTCGCTCCAGGGCACGACTGTGTCGTTTGAGGGTTTTGGTGTGATCAGTCTGCCAGGGCTGGAGCGGTCGGGGTCTGATGTTGCGTGTGGTTAAAGGCGCTAGTGAGTCCAGGGCTGTTGACAGCGCATTGTTGTAGGCGGTCATAGCCAAGTCGGGGCAGAACAGGGGGAGGATGCGGTCATGGAGTTGATCAACTGCGGAGTGGAGGGAGGCAGGGTTAAGGTTGCGGAGGTTACGGCTGGTAGTAGTGTGACATTTGGAAGGGTAGGCATTGGAGGATGAGGAGATAGAGAAAGTAATCAGGTTGTGGTCAGAGAGAGGGAAGGGGGTGTTAGTGAGGTTGTGGGGGAGCGCAGCGGTTGGAGAAGACAAGATCAAGGATATTACCGTCGGAGTGGGTGGTGGATTGTATGCACTGTGCAAGTGCAAAGGAGGAGGTTAAGTGGAGGAGACGGGCTGTGTCCGGGTTGTCGAGGTTGACAGGGATGTTGAAATCCCCAAGGATGATAGTGGGTAGCTCAGAG